ATCACCCACAGCCACATCCTTACCCATATCCACACCCACACCCACATTCTTACCCACACTCACATCCTAGTTTATAAATTGCTATTGTAACTTATAAAAAACTGTTTCATACTGTTACGAGCAAATCTCATAGAAGAGCAAATGTCATTGGGGAGCAAGTGTCGCCGGAGCGCAAATGTCGCGAGAGCAAATGTCTCGGGAGCATCTTTCGTGATACCGTCATGATAACCGTAAAATATTAGAATAGAACAAACGCTGCAAGGCTTATATTTCTTTATCAAAATTAACATAAAACTATCATACAATCCTACTAATGCGTATAAAAAGTCGTAGGCTAAACTCTTTCTCCCGAATTCTATAGAGACTGATCCTATCCACCGATTTTTTAAGTAAAATCGGAGACGATTTGGTGTTAGACCTTTCTCTCTAGCAGTTTTAAATAGTTTTTTTCTACTGTTAATGTAGGATAGTGAGCCAACACCCTTATTACGGATTCTGTTCCGTTAAAAAAGCAACTAGATAGAAAAATGACTAGAATATTGGTATGAAGCACCATTTGAGCATCCACCTTTTACTTTATAACTAATTGAATCGTCATCATTATAGCGCCAGCATCATTTGCACAAGCTCGTATTTGGCTTGACGAAAGAATTCGATTTGATCCAGACAAGCCACAAGTAGCAATATACAACATGCCTTTTGTTTATCGTCTGCAATCAGATCATACTTTATCGACTAAACAATTTCGTCATGCTCTTCATCTCACTGTCAACAAACATCCTTCACTTCACACATCACTTTATTTTGATATCCAAAAGAATCTACTGATGCAACGAGTTATTACTCATGAAGATAAGAATGAAAATAATAATATATTTTCAATAATCGAAACTACTTATGAAACAGATGAACAATTGAATGAGATTTTACATGACGAGAAACGTAATCCACATCTCTTTGATCTTGGTCAAGGTCTTGTCTTTCGATGTCATCTTGTTTACTACAAACAAATCTCTTCAAATGATCTTCTTTCTCACAAAGATCTCATTATTTTCAACTTTCATCATGCTTTATTTGATTTTCCATCAATGAAAGTGTTTCATCATGATCTCAATCAAGCATATACAACACGTCAGCTATTATATGATGACAACACTAATCTTCGTTATCTTGATTGTAAATATAAATACTACTTCTACTTTTCTCTTTTCTAATACATTCTTTTCTTTGATTATATAGATGCTGCTATTGAACAACAAATGCCAATGACTGGTGCAAGTATGTTTTGGCTTGATGCTCTTCATGACTGTAAACTTGATAAACCTTTGTCATTACCATTTGATCGATATCGTCTTTCCAATGAATATAGAACTGGTCGTGGAACATCTATTTCTTTTGATCTTGGTCAGGATCTCTTGCATGACTTACTGATTCATGCATCATCAAATAATATATCACTGGAACATCTCGCACTTGCTACTTATTATGTGTTTTTATTCAAATTAACGAATGGAGAAAAAGATTTATGCATTGGAATAAATACACATGGTCGATATAGAGATGAACTTAACTCTATCATTGGAATGTTTGTGAATGCTATCCCTTTGCGATGTCAACTCGATCCTCATTTATCATTTCATAAAATCACTAAGCATGTTCAAGATAATATGATAAATTGTATGAAATATTCATATTTTCCACTTCAACACATTCTCAATCAACATCCAAATATATCAAATCCTGTATTTCTTGATACATCATTTGACTTTGTATCATCGATGAGAAGAGATGAGGAGGATGAAATAATGATTGATGATAGCCAATTTTCTTTACTACCTTATTCAATTAAGATCA